TGTCTTTAAATTGGGATCCAATGTGAGTATAATCCCAGAAACATGCAAAGATCTTAGCTGGCTACTCACCCCATGTCCGTGGCATTTGGAGATACATTTGTCCAGTTCAAAAAATGAGGCATTCAAACATTGCTGATCTTTGCATACCTGAAATTGGAATTTCCTTGAGGTCAGGTAGGATCATAATGACTGAGGATTCTTCAAAAATTAAATCTTTGTGGATTCCAATGTGAACTGATTTGGTTCACAATTCCTACACATGGGACAGATTGGTTGCGGATTGGCACCTTTGGATTTCGCTCTTTGAATATTGCAATGCAGCTCTTGGCTCAGAAAAGAGGACCAAAATACATTTTTAAAATGCTCCTTTTAGATAAAAGAGCCAAGATTATACTCTGAGATCATGTAACATAAATTTCCACATTGTCTCATGCAAACCTTTTGTGTGAAAACACTGTGCAACCAAAGCTACAAACCAATGCACAACCAATGTTTACATGAAGGCATAACTGCACTGCAAAGATCCTTTAAGACTAAGGAAGGCAAGGGCAAACTCCCTTTGAACAAATCTGACCAAGATAATCCTAGGACAGGGTTGCTATATTTTTAGAGCCAGCATGGCGTCGTAGTTTCAGTGTTGGACTCCACTGTGTGCAACTCCACTTCCACAACCCTGAATACAAAATAGAAAAGGCTAGAAGAATTAGACAGAATTCACCTGTCATGTTAATCTGTATTCTTTTGGGGAGCAGACATAGCAAGGACATACAGGTATGTTATCTCCATCCTTGAAAGAACTCAGTTTAGCAGAACAGGTGAACTCTGTGCCATATCATCTGTTCAGCTTTAGAATTGAAACACAGTTCACTTGTATTCAGACTATCTTAGGGTTCCCTGGGCAAGGAGGTTTTCCAGTGCCTTCCTCTGAGGCTGAGACTTGCTTAAGATCATCCAATGGTTTTCATTATTGAATGTGGATTTCAACTCTGGTCTCCCACAGTCCTAGTCCAGCACTGAAACCATGATGCCATGATGACTCTAAAAATATAGCAGTTTTAGACTAGACTAGATTAAGCAGTTTATGACTGTATATAGAGCCTCCCTCATCTTGCTCTTATTCCAGCTCACAGAGACATGGGAAGTGAAGCCTTGAAGTACCCATAGAGTTTGGAATCAGTAACTTGGGATCCTGTGAACTTGTGTTCTGTGCCACCACAGCACTGTTTCCATTGCAAGGCTCACAGACTGGGTTCGAGGTTCAAGGGTCGCCATCTAGATCCTATGGTCCTGTAGTTTGGGAAGTGTTCACAATTCACAATTTCAGTGATTATTATTTTTTTTGGAAGGCCTTTGAGGAAGGCCTAGTGCAGGGACAGGCAACCTTTTTGAGACCTGGGCCGGTCTCCCGTCGGCCAGGTCTCGGCTGGGCCAAGGGGGGGGATGGCGGCGCGTGCACTCATGCGCGTGCGCGCACCCTCCACCACCGCACGCGACCCCCCCGCGCGCGGCCGCTGCGGCCGCTACTGTGGCCACTGCCGTAGCGCACGCAGCCACAGCTGCCATGGCACATGTGCACAAGAGTACTGCGCATGCGCAAACACATCGCGACCGTCATTTTGACTTCCAAAATGGTGGCCGCAGCAAGCGCAGCCAAAAACACGCCCCGACAGCAGCAAGCGGCGGCTGCAACCTACGGCCTAAGCCGGTAAATCCGGGGCCTTAACCAGGCCCCGGGCCGTAGGTTGCCAGTCCCTGGCCTAGTGTGATCAAAACACATTGGGCTTTTTAAAATACTAATAAACAGTTGACTATCTTTTAGCATGTGGAACTTGTCTCCTCTTTGTTTGCTACTTGGCTACATGCTTTCAGTTCCTTACCTATGCAGTACTAGCCTGCTAGAAAACAGACTTGGGAGTGCCTTGGCAAATGCATCAGCTCACAGAGTACAGTACTCACCATTCCATCTCCACACTTGGTCCCCGTCATCACTAGTCCCGGATCAGCCATGTCCCCTTCGTCATCATTGGTAGCATAAACCAAGGTCCCTCGACACTTTATCTCCCGCCCGTTAAACCGGATGGTGGTATCCATGGAAATGGTGTTGGTCCCTTTGGGCTTTGCGGCTGAGCTCTGACATTGGATCTTCCCACACTTGGCATCTCTGGGAAATACGGTAAAAAACAGAGCTAGAAAAGGGACTGAAAGGACATGCCATCCAAATCCTTGCCAAAGAGGCTGAATCCTTTACGTACCCAGATTGGCCCATGTGAGTTGGACCTAAATGGGCTACAAGTCAAGAGCCCTGTGGAGAGTTGCTTATGCAACAGATGGACTGACGTATGCCTGTATCTGGACTTGCAGTTCTCCAGTTTAATGCAATCTCTGGAGCAGTCTTTCACACGAGACATGCAGGACTATAACTGCTGTTATCCACTGTCGGTATGACTGGAGTGATGGGACCTAGAATCCAGCACATCTGGAGGATACCTGGTTGGGACAGACTGCTCTACTATTTGATCAAATAAACAAGCCCAGACCCAAGACAGAAAGAAAGGCTTGAGTCTTTGTCATATAAAAGGTCACGTCTTGGCGGCTACCGTAATAAGACAGGAAAGTAATAACCCCAGTTATTTCTTTCCCTGTTGAAAAATTGCTCTTCCAACAGTTCAGAAACCCCACTGGGAAGAATAACTGGGGTAAGACTTTTGTGGATTTGCACTGGTAGTCAAGTCTCCTGAATTACCTGTTGTTGTCATTGTTGTTGTGTGTCTTCAAGTTATTTCCAACTTATGTGACCCTAAGGTGAACTAATCACAGGGAGTTCTTGGAAAGATTTCTTCAGGGAGGGAGGATGCCCCTCAGCTCTGAGGCTGAGAGAATGTGACTTGCCCTAGATCACCCAGTAGTTTTCCATGACCAAGTGGGGATTTGAACCCTGGTCTCCAGAGTCATAATCCAGTGCTCAATGCACGACATCACACTGGCTCTGAAATATCTGGGCTGTAGGTAAATTTGGCCTAAGCCAGCCTCCTCCTGAGAAATCCTGATTCCAACCTGGTTGTTTGCCATGTGAGACAGGCCCATATGAGGCTTCTTCTAGTCAAGGAATCATAGATTCATAGACCTGGAAGAGACCTCAAGGGCCGGAACACACCATCAAAGCACTCCCTGTGACAGATGGCCATCCAGCCTCTGTGGAAAAACCTCCAAAGGAGGAGACTCCACCAGCCTCCAAGGTAGCAGCATCTTCCAGTGTTAAACAGCTCCTACCATCAGGAAGTTCCTCCTAATGTTGAGGTGGAATCTCTTTTCTTGTACCTTGAATCCATTGCTCCATGTCCCAGTCTCTGGAGCTGCAGAAAACAAGTTTGCTCCATCCTCAAAAAGGACATCCCTTCAAATATATCAGCACGGCTATCATGTCACTTCTTAACCTTCTCTTTTCCAGGCTAAACATCCCCAGCTCCCTAAGCCGCTCCATATAGGGCTTTATGGTTTCCAGATCTTTCACCATTTTGGCTGTCCTCCTCTGGACATGCTCCAGTTTCTCATCATCCTTTTTGAACTGTGGTTCCCAGAACTGGACGCAATATTCCAGGTGATGTCTGACTAAAGCAGAACAAAGTGGTACTATTACTTCTCATGAGAGAAGAGCCTTTTGTGAGGTCTTCAGGTTCAAATCTCCCCAAACCCATGCAATGGGTTTTGGACATCACAAGATTGGGAGTTTGGTCAAGAATGCACTGCAAGCAGACTGCTTGTTGTCTTTGGCCAAAGTGGGAAGAATTGGCATCAGCTATAGGTGCCAGCAGGTGACACAACAGAAAGACCCTTGTAACATTTGGTAGCTAATTTGAGACCATTTTGCTGCATAGCAAATGTTCAGGTTTTAGTCTTTTGAGAACACAACTGGCACTCACTTTTCCCATTCACATCAGATATTTCACTGTAGAATACCCCACAAAATGCTTTGGGAGTCTTGAATACAGAGAGAATGCCCCCACAGTGAGGAGAACGCTAAGGCTGCATCTGCATTGCAAAAATAATTCAGTTTGGTACCACTTTAACTGTCCTAGCTCAATGCTATGGAATTCTGGGGTTTGTAGTTTGTTGTGGCACCAGAGCCAACTGACAGAGAAGGCTCAATATCTCACAAAACTACAAATCTCAGGATTCCATAGC